ACGGTTTCAGCCTGAGAAATTCAACCTAATACTAATATGTTAAGTTTTGCGATTTGGAGTATAAGAAACATTCTCCAATACAATCATGTTGAAGACCTTATGTTCGATGAGCCTGTATATATTATGTGTGGTCTCTAATTCTGATGATGCCACTTGGCTGTGTATTTCAACGAGGCTGCTTATTTTGACCCATAAAATAAAAAAAAGTCAACCAGGAAAAGTTTCATTAGAAATTAGAAATAAAATTTTCAACAAAGAAAGAAATTATGTTGAGCCCTCAATTAGTGGCGCTTGTTTTGGTTTACCCAATAGTGACCAAGATAAAGATTATAGCTAGAGCGGGTCAACGATTGGTTGCGGCGTAGGGTGGCATATGATTGCCATTGGAATTTCAACTAGTAATTGTCCTAAATATTTTCCTTTACACATTCTGGGAAATTCGTAACATACGGAAATCTCCAAAGCCGTCTCAGACTTCATGGCCTCATAGGACTTCCGGCGCCTAGTCAACGCCAGGCTGGAAGCATTCAAGGAGTCCCAGGAGTTCAAGGACATGATCGAGGGTCAAGTGCAGCAATTCAAATCCTCAGAAACCTTCGAGGAGCTCGTCAACCAAAGGCTCGAAGCCTACCAGTCTTTAGCCGAGTTTAAAGAGCTCCAACTGTCCTTGATGCAGTCCGCGGGGGAGCAGATCCTCGACCGCTTCCGCAAGAAGCGTCCAGATGTCGACATGTCTTTTCTCGATGAGTCCGACAGCGAGGGCGTGGAGTTTATCGAACCGGCTCAGGGGGCCGAGGGGGCCGAGCGAGCACAGGGGGATGCCGACCAGACCGCGGGCAGAGACGGCGAGCAGTGAGGGGACTTCTCCCGAGAGCTTTCGTTGTTTTTGTAACACTTTTTTTTTTACCGAGCCATGAGGTGTAGACAATATTTATTTGATGATTTGTAATGACCATAAGGTCGAGACAAGTTTTTTTTTTTATTTCTTCTCTCTATATATTTTCATGCTTACCTTTGCTCACTGTTTGTGTGGATGTTGCGCACGTGTAGATTCTTTTTGCCAAGTGTAGGCTCGACCACCTCTTGTGAATCAACAGTTTTTTTTTTTTTTTGTGGGGGGGCCTCACGTCGGGCCTTAGTACCCCCTCACCCAAGCTGAGTTTTAGAACTCGGCTTTGGCGTACCATTGTCAAAGCTTCGACATAGATGGTAGAATATTGACCGTAGGAAATCTGCTTGTTGCTTAGGTATGGTTGAGCCAGAGCCCCACCGCCCTTGCAAGTTCGTGGGGGCCTTATTGTGCCCTCGCCAAAAACAAGGCCTTGGACTTGTTTTTGGCGCATCGTCGTCGACGTATCGACGAATTGATATGGTCGACGTATCGACAGGAGCAGTAGACGATTGTACCCGCGTAACAAGAATCGGTCGTAAGGTAGTGTTTGTTGATTAAGCATATAATGCCCGTTGCCTTTTATTCATGTAGAATTTACAAGTTGGCTTTTTGGCCTGCCAGAAACGAGAAATGAAACTGAACTTAATTAAAAAACAATAAGTTTGCTCTGTTAGGTCGACGTTTCCCGTGAATACTGGTAGTAGACCTTCAACTGGTCCGCATTCCAAGTGTGCTTGATGCCTCGGCCGTCGAGCTCTGCCAGTTAGTACGACCCATTGGCCACAACCTCTCTTATTCTGTAGGGCCCTTCCCACGTCGGGCCCAGGGCTCTGAAGTTCTTAGGTTTGGTGTTGGGGGTTATCACCCGCAACACTAGGTCCCCGACCCCGAAGCGCTTTTGCTTGACCTTCTTGTTATAATACCTAGTAGTTCTTGCCTGGTAGGCGGCGAGCCTTAGTTGTGCAGTTGTGCGCCGTTCTTCCAGGAGGTCGAGCTCCAAGCCCATCAGCTCGGCGTTCCTATCCTCCTCGTACCGGGTTACCCGGTTGGTCAGAACGGACACCTCAACTGGAAGGACTGCCTCGATCCCGTATGCCATCGAGAATGGGGTTTCCCCCGTAGTAGTTCTACTCGTTGTTCTGTAGCCCTATAGCACTTTCGACAACTCGTCGGCCCATTTGCCTTTGTAGGCATCGAGGCGTCGTTTGAGTGTGACTTTGATTATCTTATTGACCGCCTCGACCTGCCCGTTGGACTAGGGGTATACGACGGAGGAGAAATTCCTGTGGATCCCTAGTAGCTCGCAAAACTGGCTGGTGTTGTCGTTGTTGAATTGTTTCCCGTTGTCGGATACGAGAGAATGCAGCACACCAAACCTGCAAACTATGTTGTTCCATATGAAGTTCGTATACTTTTCCTCTGAGATGGTCGTCAATGGCTCAGCTTCTACCCACTTTGTGAAGTAGTCAGCCGCGACAATAGCGAACTTATAACTCCCCGGGGTTTTGTGCAGGGGACCGATAAGGTCAATTCCCCATTTAGCGAAGGGCCAGGGAGACACTATAGATGTTAGGTCCTCTGAGTGCCGTCGAGGGATGGGGGTGTACCTCTGGCAGCTCTCGCACCTTTTCGCGTACTCGGTTGCGTCTTTCTTGAGACTTGGCTAGTAATACCCCTACCGAAGTATTTTGTAGGCTAGGGATTGTCCCCCCGCGTGGTTCCCACATATCCCATCGTACACCTCAGACAGCACTCTCTTTGCCTCCTCTGCGCCGAGGCACCGGAGCAGGGGCGTCGAGTAGCCCCTTCGATAGAGGAGGTTGTCGTGCATTGTGTACCTCGTCGCTTGATACTTCATTTTTTTTGCCTGCTGCCTGTCCTCAGGCAGTTCACCGTCGACCAAGTACCTGATGATTGGGTCCATCCAGCTTGGCTGATAATCCACTGGCACGACCTCGGGCCTCTTTGCCGTAGTCGAGGCTTTCAAGACCTCCATGGGAACCAGGTTCCAGAGCTCGGCATCTCTCGACGTCGCCAACTTGGCGAGGGCATCGGCGTTGCTATTCTCTGCTCTTGGTACTTGCTGTATATCATAGGCCGTGAGCTTCCCCAGGGCTTCCCTGACCTTCTTCAGATACGTGGCCATTTTCTCATCCTGAGTCTGGTATTGGCCCTTCACTTGATTCACAATAAGCTGTGAATCGCTGAAGATGTCTAAGTTCCCCGCTTTCAGGTGCTCCGCCAACCGGAGTCCAGCCAGTAGTGCCTCGTACTCGGCTTCGTTATTGGATGCGAGGAATTCAAACCTGATGGCCGAGGTGATCTTGTGTCCCTCAGGTGTGTGTAATACCAGTCCTGCCCCACTGTCATTGTCGTTGGAGCTCCCATCAACGTAGAGCTTCTATCGTGGCAGTTCGTTGGCTTCATTGGCCTCGTCCGGTAGTCCTGTGAACTCTGCCACAAAGTCTGCCAGGGCTTGGCCCTTGATGGCAGTCTGCGGTTTGTAGTCGATGTCAAACTGGCTAAGCTCTATGGACCATTTCAAGAGTCGACCGGAGGTGTCGGGCTTCTGCAGCACTTGCCTGAGTGGGTGGTTGGTCAAGACCTGAATGCTATGGGCCTAGAAGTAGTGCCGCAACTTCCTTGCTGTCATAACTAGTGCGAGGGCGAGCTTTTCCATCTGGGGATACCTCATCTCCGCGTCGAGGAGGCGCTTGCTAGTGTAATACACCGGCAACTGCACCTTCTTCTCCTCGCGGATCACCACCGAACTAACAGCGTGTTCTGAGACCGCCAGGTAAAGGCTCAGCACCTCTCCAGTCACTGGTTTGGAGAGCAGAGGGTGTTTCCCAAGGTGTTCCTTCAGTCGTTGTAACGCCTGTTCACACTCTTCCGTCCATAGGAATGGCTTGCTTCCCCTCAGGGTATCAAAGAACGGTACGCACTTGTCCGTAAATTTAGAGATAAACCTGTTAAGTGCGGCCACACAGCCTGTCAACTTCTGGACCTCCTTGGGCTTCCTTGGCGATCCCATGTCGAGGAGGGCCTGAATCTTCTCCGGATTGGCCTCGATTCCTCGACTGCTCACCATGAAACCCAAGAATTTCCCTGAAGCGACGCCAAAGGCACACTTGCGGGGGTTTAGCTTCATTTTGTACGTTCTGAGGATGCTGAACATTCTCCTAAGGTCCTCCACATGGTCCTCGGTCTTCTTGCTCTTCACCAGCATGTCGTCGACGTAAACCTCCATTGACTTTCCTATTTGTCCCGCGAACATCTTGTTGACGAGGAATTGATAAGTTGCCCCAACGTTTTTGAGACCGAAAGGCATCACTTTGTAACAGTAGAGACCTCTGTCGGTGACAAATGCCGTGTGTTCTTCATCACGGTCGAGCATTGGTATCTGGTGGTACCCAGAGTATGCGTCCATGAAGCTCAGTAGTTCGTGTCCCACCGTAGCGTCAACTAGCTGATCAATTCGGGGCAATGGGAAGCTGTCATTGGGACATGCTTTGTTCAGGTCGCTGAAGTTGACGCATGTTCGCCACTCTCTGTTTGGTTTCCTTACCAGTACGGGATTCGAAACCCACCTGGGGTATAAGACTTCTCAGATGAAGCTGTTTCTGATCAGCTTTTCGACCTCTTCCCACAGGGCCTCGTACCACTCCTCGGCATTCATGGGTCGACGCTTCTGTCTCTTAGGCGGGCATTTCTCGTCGATATTCAGCCTGTGACACATGATGTCAGGGCTTATCCCTTCCATGTCTTCGTGGGTCCAGGCGAACACGTCGAGGCTTCCTCTGAGAAACTCGACCAGTCTCTCGCGGGCCTGTGTCCCCAGTTCAGAGCCCACCCTTAGCGTTCTCATCGGCTCTCTTTCTTCAATGGGGACCTCGATCAATTCCTCGACCGGTCCCGTTCCGGTCTCTTCTCCTGGGAACCTTGGATCCAAATCATATTTTTTCGCCCTGGTCTTGACCATTCTCAGTTCCCTCCGTACCTGTGTCGACTCGGCATAGTGGCGGACCGTCTCTGAGTACGTAAGTCTCGACTCGTATTGATTTCCCCGGGCCTTGCCGATCCCACTGGGCATCAGAAACTTCATCATCTAGTAGTAGATGGATGTGACTGCCCTCAGAGCCCTCAATGTTGGGCGCCCTATGACCGCGTTGTATTGGTCGCCTCCCTTCACCACCAGGAATTTTGACATGACAGTCGAGGTGTGTGGTCGGTCTCCAATGGTCATGGGCAGCTCTATCGCCTCTTCCGGGATGACGCTGTCTCCTGTGAAACCGTACAAGGGTTGCGCACTGTTTTGCAACCTTGCGCGAGGGATCCCCATCTTATCAAGGCAGTTTGAGTATAAGATATCCACGGAGCTGCCATTGTCAACTAGAATACGGCAAACCGTATGGTTACCGATCATGGCCTCGATGACCAAGGCATCACTCTGGAGGAAATGTACCCCCCTTGCATCGGCCTCTGAGAAAGTGATCTCGGCGTCCTCGTATCGCGCTGCCTTAGCCTCACGTCCGAAGACGTTCATAATCCTTTGGCTGAACTTCTCTTTTGCCTCTCCAGCGTACTCCTTCTGTGCACGTCGAGAGGTGCCACTGAGGTATGGTCCCCCGAAGATCGTTCTTATAACGCCGACTGGTTCGGGCGGGTTGTCATGCCTCTGCTCTTCCCGTCGGTCGTTGTTGCGTCTGTTGTTGTTGTTCCGACGGTCAGCTTGGTACTCGCTAAGCCTTCCCTATCGGATCAAAATCTCGACCTTATCCCTTAGGTCATAACATTCGGCCATAGTGTGCCCACTCTCGCCATGAAACCGACAGTACTTGTTTTGGTTTCTCCTTGCTGGGTCGAACTTCAGCGGCGGCGGTCAACGTAGGACCTGGAGATGGTTTATCTCATGGTAGACGTCTTCGATCCCCATAGTTAAGGGTGTGTAGGCGTCGTTCCATTGCGGCTTCGGCCGCTTGTTCTCCCCCTGACTCGTCGAGGCGTTGCCGCCTCTGTTACTCGGAGCCGGGTTATACCTCTGCTCAGCTTGCACCTGAGGGGGAGCTTGGCGCTTCTTACTGTTGTTTTGGCTGCTCGCCTGCTCTACCTCTTCCTTGGCAGAGGCTGTCACCTTGCTCTTCAAGGCCTTCTTAGCCTCCTCGGCATTGATGAACCCCTGTGCCCTTGTCAGGAATTCCTGGTAGGTATGGAGCGGCCTCCGGTCGAGGTCTGTGCTGTAGGGGATGTCCTTCTTCATACTCGACAGCGCCCCCATCAAGGCCACCTCATCAGAGATTCCCTCAGTGGCGGTGACCTGTTCCCTAAACCGGGCTATCCAGTCCTTCAGGGGCTCGTTGGGTCCCTGGTACACTCTTGAGAGGTTTTGTTTGGGTGGGATGTATTTTTTGACACCTATGAACTGAGTCAAAAAGGCGTTCTTCAAGTCATCCCAACTAGTGATAGAGTTTGGTTTCAGAGACCTGAACCACCTCCTCGCAGATCGAAAAGGTGATTTCTGAATGCTCGGCACATGACCTCCTCGGGGTATCCATGCAGGACCATATGCCCTGTGTACACCTCCAAGTGGTCGTCCGGATCACTCCTTCCGTCATATAACGGAATGGGAGGCGATTTGTACTTGTCTGGGAGCGGCACCCGGATGATGCTTTCTATGAATGGGTGGTCGTACGACGTGTACATCTTGGCGTCGACATTAACCGCCTCGGCTACCTTCCCCACAACTTGCTCGAAGTTGTTTAATCGACTTCTAATCTGCTTTTCTAGTCTAGCCATCTTCTCGGCTAGAGCCTTATTATCAACTGCGAGCTCTTCCTCTCTCATCAGCTGCACAGCTTTCCCGCGTCGGGCATCGAGCCTCATCCTAAGGCCTCCGCCGTGCGTAGACGAAGACTCCACGGGGATAGCGTTCCTCCTATTCGCATCCTGCTGCGGTCGAAGGGGCGCATGCCTGTTATTCACAGCTGGCGCCGCAGCCTTCTCCCACGCTCTCCTCCGTGCTGCCTGTTGTCTGCTCCCCACAGACCTATTTGACTTGGTTGGACGGTGATCGTTGGCTCGACTATCACTGACTTCCTCGGCGTCACCGTGTTGGTCACCAATCTCTTGGCCCCCAACAGCGGCGTTCACCGGGTTCATCGACGCATCCTCAAGTGGTGGCATTGGGTCTTGCCCTTGATCCCGCCCCGCAAGGGCCGTAGCCATCATTTCCACGGCTGCAGCCAGGGTTTCGTCCTGCTTTTAGAGCTGGTTGATGCGGTTTGGGGGGCTCCTGGCAGCCGGTGGGAGCGGATTCGTTGAGGTCCCAGCGGCGGTGAGATTTTGGGTCGCCTGACTCATTGGGTTAGCCGACAGTAAGCAGGTGTTCCTGGGAGGCATAGTTGGTTAAAAGCTGGATTGAATTTCTGGGCTTTTGCCCTCCTTCTAGTGCCAATTGTTGTCGGTGTATTTCTGGCAACTCGTGATTACCTCTCCAAAAACACTCATGGTTTGATTAAGGATTAAGACTGAAAAACAATGTAAAGGAGACAACAATTTTATAGTGGTTCGGTAATAATTCTTTGCCTAATCCACTTGTGCATGCACTAATCTTTCAACTGGTTACAAGCTCTCTTTTCTTAATAATGAAATGGAGTCTAACCTTCCTCTCAGTTTTCTTGGCTCTATTTATAGGCCTTTACATGTGAATACGTATTCCTCGTTCCCAAGAAGGAAGCCATCTTCTGTCCTCGATTCGCGTGAGGGTAGGTGAGTTTTCATGATGACTGCTCTGGGAAACGCGGTTGATCCGTCCTATCTGCCGCCTGATTTCTTGACTCCTGCAGTAGTAGTCGGATCAATACTTCCCTCTTCGAGTTAACAAGACCGCTGGTAGAGAAGACCGACAGTGTCCCCTCGGCGTCGCGGCCTCCGAAGGCTGAGTCATCGCGCCCGGCGCCCCTTCCCACATATGGTCCTTGACGTAGAAGGCACATTAGCTACGGTTGTTCCCTCGACGCCAACGGCCGATCCTCTACGGGGAGTCCTCGGCGTCTGTCGTTCGGGAGAGTGGTCGACCTCTCGACCATGGTGTAACAAAATCAATAATTAATGACACTATTATATAAGTTCACAATTTATGAATTGTAGACCTTAAAAAGTGAATTAAACTCAAATAAAAGATTGATTTTTTTTAAGTAATTAAAAGATTAATTTATTTAATTAAAAACATATAAATAATAAAAATTATTGTTATAATTATAGCTAAAGTCTCCAATCCGATACCAGATTAGAGCGGCACATATATATATTTTTAAAAACATATGTATATTTTCTCTTAAAATATGTCTATTTCTTCTAAAAATATATATATAGTAAATTATAGGTGTTTTATCACATTGTACATATTTTAAGAGAAAATATATATATTTTAAAAAGAAATGCATATGTATTTAAAAAATATATATATGTGTCGCTCCAATCCAATACCAGATTGGAGACAAATTCTATAATTATATTAATATTTTAGTGTAAAAATTTTGTTTCATTCACGTCCCATTAAAAAAAATTTCCGACTCCAGAGGCCTTTGTAAAAATAACTCTTTTGAAAAGTTTTATTAGTAAAATAACTTTTCAAAAATTTTTATTTACAAAATGACCTCTTTTTACAAAGAATGAGTAAATGTCTTTCTTCATAAAAAATAAAAGAAGATCATTTTACTAATTTCACTTTGTTGAATAATCATTCTAACATATTGCCCCAAATTTTAGCGCCAGTGATGAATTATTGGTTCTCATATATATGCCAGCTGCGTCAAAGTAGACAAGAAGTTGCGTCTCTTGATCCATACTCGTCGCTAAACTTGGCTTGTCCAACATATTTTTTAATTTTAATGCAAGGAACAGAGATTTTTGACAATTACATATTTGTTTCTTCTCAGACCATATAACTAAACAATGATTCACAACCACTACACAATTTCCATTTGATACTGACAGCTCAAAAATAAATAAATAAATAAATAAAACTGATCTCATAAAAGTAGCAGCAGTATACCATTAATCTACGCATCTGTTGGTTCAACCATATTATCAGCGTCATTATCACTAGAATTTTTGAGATTTGGTCTTTCTTTGTTTACTTTGCTACCCAGATAGTGGTTACGAATCTAAACTAAACCATCAATTCAAATGATTAAATACAACTATAAAAAATAAAGGAGCAAGAGAATGAGAAAGCATGGGTCCCCCAACATGTGCTGCAATAGAAGTTCTAATCGAATACAATAAAGTCTACTTTCAAAACAAGGTCCTTTGTAGATGCTTACATTTGTCCTCCCATGTGCCGTTGCTCGCATTTTCCAACCTCAACCCAACTCACCAAAAAATGAAGTCAAGTCACAATACCATAAAGATATGCACAACTCTCTCTCTCTCTCTCTCTCTCTCTCTCTCTTCCACCTAATATCCAATCATCAACCTTTTCCTTATTTGTTTATTTGTTTATTTATTTATTTTTTATAAAGGTCTATCAATGTTCTCTTTTGGTTAGAAGCAACCAATATCAGGCAAATATGGGATCCTAAAGAGCCTTTCATGTGTTATATTTGAAAAAGATAACTGACAAAGTATTGAGGAAGAAAAAGGTGAAAAAGAAAATGTCTTAAGGGAAAAATAAAATGATTCACATGTAATGCTTGTACATTTATTCCAGCAATAAAATAAAAGAATATCAGAGAATGACCTTTTATAGCCATTTGTTCTTCTTTCTTGTTTGACACACCTCAGTGATGAGAAAATCAATCTTTTAGCTCAAAAGAATCAAGAACAGCAGAAAACTTTTTACAGATTCATCAGGTCTAGGAAAAGAAACATTGTGTAAAGAACAAAACAAAACAATGAATACAAAAAAAAAAGAAAAAAGAAAAAAAAAAGGCAATACTTGGGGGTGCTGATCCAATGGAATTCAGCCACTTGCCAGCCCATACGATCATTTTCTAGGCTTAAACCAAACTTGGCCTCTTTCTTTCTACTTCAGTAGTATATTGATCTCCAATTCTTGTCACCGGCAATCCGTTGAACTAAAAGAGTCTGCAAATCCATACGGCTTTGAAGGAATGCTAGATTGTGTTTGGGAGAACGTGTCGTTTAACATCGTCGAAGTTCCTTCATTGGCTTGCCATCTTTGTAAGGCTTGAGGGAGGCTCATGTGTAGGTCAATGCCATAGTTTTCTTCCTCTTCATGGCAGGTAGGTTTCCATTGTTCTACAAGTGGACCCAAGATGTTGACTGCATGCCCCATGTCCGGTCTCTGATATGGCTCACGAGCAGTACAGTGACCAGCCAACTCGGCCACCTTGTAAATGCTCTCCATGGTCTCTTCATCAGGATTTAGAGTATGATCCATTGCCTTTGGGATGTTCTCCTTGTTGATTAGAACTCTTCGGAACCATGTCACCAAATGAGACCTCTCATCTGGCACACTGTCATCTAGAGCTTTTCTACCGGTGATAAGCTCCATCAAAACCACTCCAAATGCATAAACATCCACTTTCGTCGTTACTCTTCCCGTAGCTGTTGAGAAACAACATGGAGATAATTCAATTTAATACTTGGAGCATTTGAAAACAAATATGTAAAACATTAACCCACACAGGAATGTCAAAACCAGAATTTACCCAAGATTGCAAACGATATAACCGACATAATTATTGCAATATCTTGTCCAAAAAATGTAAGTACCAGCTATACATGTAGTTGAGTGTCATGTTAAGCAACAGTAATAAATCATGCATGAGATTACTATGGATGAAACCTATTAATGAAGTCTGATAATGTAATGTCATAATTATGAGTTAAATTAATAGGTGAGAAATATTGAACGCATAGGCTAGTTTACCTGCATACTCAGGTGCTAAGTACCCGAATGTTCCTGCCAACCTTGTCTCCACAGAGTACTTCCCGTCCGGTGCATTTTTAACCAGACCGAAATCGGCAACCTTGGCTCTCATGTCGTCCCCGAGAAGTATGTTTGAGGGTTTCAAATCCCTATGGATAAAGCTTTGTTGAGCTAAGCTGTGCAGATATTCCACTCCCCTTGCCACATCCAATGCTATAGTAACCCTCTGCTTCCAAGTAAGAGGGGATAGCCCATTCTCACGCCAATCAAACAAATGCTGAGTCAGAGTACCTTGTGGCATGTATTCATACACCAAAAGCCTCTCATTGCCGTTAATGCAGTACCCCAAGAGTGCAACCAAATGTCTATGTCTCACTTTAGTGAGCACTGCGATTTCAGCCTGAAACTCATTCATTCCTTTGGTACCAACTGCGGCAGACTCCATCCTTTTCACGGCAATCTTAGTCCCATCATGTAATTCTCCTTTGTAAACAACTCCAAAACCTCCTCTTCCTAAGATATTCTCTTCACTGAAATTGTTTGTCACTTGTCTAAGAACTTGTATCGAGATGGTAACGTTTCCGCCCTCGAAAATATGGAAATCACTGCGGTCACCACTGCTCTGGCTTTGCAATTCACTCGGGACCCCATTATACCCATTTGTCCCACCCATCACATTACTCTTAATTACCATCTCCTTGCCATTTTCAGGATTTTCTACTCTTCCAAACTTCTTGTGCCTATTCTTAACGTAACATTTGAATAACACAAACAAAACAACCAGAACAAAGATAATGACAGCAATTACTATACCAGCAATCATACCAGCCGAACTCCGGTTACCGCTAGATGACCCGGCAGGGCTCCCAGCAGGCGCGGCACTGCCAGAATCCGAATCCGATGGACTCCCTCCACTTCCGGAGCTCGGGGTTTTCCCCAGCAAGAGATTCCCCGTGGTAGTCAGCTTCACTCTCGACGGGAATTTCGGAACGTCTCCGGTAAGATTATTGTTCGAAACATCAAGAACCTGAAGCTGAGGCAATTGCGTCAAGCTATGCGGTATTGGACCGGTCAAATCATTATCGTTCAGCAACAAGTTCTTCAGCGAAGTGAGATTTGCGAAAGCAGGCGAAATCGTCCCCGTGAAATGCCGCTTCTGAAAATTCACAGTAATGACATTCCCGTCCGAATCGCAAACCAAAAAGCTCCATTCTTTGCAAGCGTCATTCCCTTTCCACGAGTCAGCTAAGAGCATCGGATACCCCAAGTCTCCAGCGATCGCGATCAAAGTCGAGACCTGCGGATCGCAATCCCCTGCAGTGTTCTTGCAGAAACTGTTCGTTCCGGTGAGATCGACCTTAACGGACGACGAGAACGAAGGTTGAGGACCCTGCAACTTATTGTTCGCCAGAGAAACGTTTCGCAGGCTCGAAATCGACATCAATGTGCTCGAAATCACGCCGGTGAAGAGATTATCTCGCAGCTGAAGATCGAACAACGCGTCCAAATTCGACAAATCCGGAATCGGACCGGTGAACTGGTTCTTGTGGAGCCATACCTGGTACAGCTGCGTCATGTTAGACAAAACATCGACTCGACCGGAAAGCCCTACCTGCTGATTGTTCAGCCATAAATGCTGAATTCCAGATCCGGCGAAACTCGGAGGCAAAGAACCGTTGAGATTGTTGTAAGAAAGCCTCAAATCCTGCAAATTCGTAAACGAACTGAAGATGTCCGGAATCCGACCGACGATATTGCAAGAGCCGGCGTAAAGAGTGACCAGACTCGACGAGTCAATGAGTTCGGCCGGGAAACTCCATGACTTGAGGTCCAAGTTCTGGCTCATGCTGAGTTTCTGCAAGTTGGTGAGTCCTTGGAAGCAGCCGGCGGGTACGGAAGTGAAATTGTTACTGTCAAGGTAGATCTCCTGGAGAGAGGAGAGGTTGGCGAGGGAAGGGAGAGCGCCGGAGAAGGAGTTTCCCTGGAGAGAGAGAGTGACGAGCTGAGAGAGAGAGTTGAGATCGGAGGGGAGTTCACCACCGAGGGACTGATCGGCGAGGTTGATGGCGATGACTCGGCCGGAGTTGTCGCATTTCACGCCCTTCCAACCGGTGCAGAGCTTGGAGGTGTCCGACCAGCTCAACGGCGCCGCGGGTTTGATGCCGGCACTGAAGGCGGACATGACGGTGGCGTCGTCGGCGGCGGCGAGGAGGACGAGGGAGGTTATGAGGTGGAGAGAGAAGGCTAGGGTTTTGGGATGCCCCATTGTTGGTTGTGTTAGAGAGAGAAAGAAAAGGAGAGAGAGAGAGAGAGAGAGAGAGAGAGAGAGAGAGAGATGGAGGGGGATTAATGTGTCTTTCGTCTTGAGGAGCTTTTATGGCTTTTGTGAGGTTTTTGTACAGACAACAAGAAAACGTAGAAGGCGTTCGTGTAAGACGTGTAAGACGTGTAAGACGGATTTTGTTAGCGTCACATGCGGGTTTTTTGGAATTTTCCATTATCTATAGAAGTGCCATGTAAACGGTCCCCCTCCTCTCTTTTTTTTTTTTCCCTTTTTTTTTTCTTTTTTTTTTATCTTAGAAATTTAAATGCGTTTGAAACTTATTTTAAAATATTTTTATTTTTTATATAAAAAAAATAAAATTATTTTTAATCTCAAATATAAATTATTTTAAAAATACGTTTAGTAATTTTATCAAGAGATTATTTTTAGTATAAAAAACTCATTAGTGTTTCTTTCTCTACTCGAGAGAGCAGAAAACGAAAATAAAAAACGAAAAACAACTAAAAGTCATTTTTCATTTCTCTCTCATTTTACACTAAACTAAAAAATAGTTTTCATTTCCGTTTTTGTCTTTATTGCGCCAAACGCGGTTTTAAAAACGTTTTCATTTTTTCTTTCTCAAAAAACGTAAAAAATAAAAATATGATCAATTTCAAACACGGTATTAGTTATTTTTTCATTTTTGTCCCTTTGTTTTTGACTTTTTCTTTTACTTTTTGCTCTAAAACATTAATTTTTTTTTCATTTTGGTTCCTACTTTATTTTTCTTTCATTTTGTTTCCGTTCATCTTAAAAATTATTTATTTTTCATTTCACTCTTTTTTTTATCTTTTTTTTTAACTTCTTGTTTAAAACTTTATTTTGTTTCATTTTAGTTCCTTTTGGAAATTTTATATGCTTTTAAATGTGTCTCATTTTGAAGATTTTATTTTGAAAAATTTTGTTGTGATGTACATTTTTCTTCCTCTAGGGCTCTACGCCTCATTTAATTATAACTATTATTTTTTAATGTATGTATTTTCCTAATTTGTTTCTCTTGCATTATTTTAAAATGTGCTTTATGCCGTACTTCACTCATATTAACATAATTTCTTTCATATGTGTTGGTGCTTAATAAAACTTAACACACGGATTACTTACAACGTGCATAGCACGTTGATTAGTACATGAAAATGCACCTTAAATACTGCTTTTGATTTATATAATATTAAAATATTTAAGCTTTAATTAAATAATTCCATTATTTTTATTTATAATATTTTTAATTGGAATTTGTCTAGTTTTTGCTTAATTATTTATAGATAAAAACAGTGTAAAAAGCTACACAAGAAGAAGCCATGAAAGCCATATTTTCAACCCATCTGAGCCACACAAGCCAAGCCAATCAGAGAGAGTCACGCCACCCATCAGCCAAGCTAAATGAAGTGGGCCCGCGTGTTAGTGCGGAAATCCGCGCCTTTCCTCTCACTCCGTCTCGCGCCTCACGCGTCACTAGCACGCATTACCTCAGAGCGCGCGTCTCCTTGCACGCAGCCATCACCGCGCGTCCAATCTTCTCCCGCGTGGGTCCCGCGTGACAGCCCAAGTTTCTCTCCGCGCGCGCCAGCTGTTCCGGCGACAGCTTTCTACCAGTCATCCGCCCAATCTGCATACGCCACTTGTCTCAGCGGGACCCCAATGTCGGCAACCACTTTGAGTGCGACACGTGGCGAGTTGATTCCTTCTTTCCAATTGCATTGTGACACGTGTCTTCTAGGTGCTGAGTCTGAATTTCTCTTCTCCAAAAATCAGAGCAAATGGACAGATCTCTTCCCCAAATTAAATATATGATTTCTCTTAATTTATGTGTAATTTTATTTTATTTCCTTTTTCTTTGTAATTTTCTAATTTTATTGTTTGTTTTCTTATTTGACAGGCAACCTCTAAACACTATAAATAAGAAGGTTTGCCTAAGGTTTAAGGAGCTTTTAAATATTCAGTTTTTTGTCGTCTTGCTGTCATTCTCATATTTTCTCTCTAGAACTTGTGAGAATGTTTTGCAAGCTAGGCTAGAGTTCTCTTGGTGAGGTTAGAGATGAACTTCTGTTGAGTGACCCAATTCGGGGTTTTGATTCCTTGTGCTGTAAAGTTCAACATCTGAATGAATTAAATCTCATCTATTTTTCTATTACTTTTCAAAATATTGTGTGCCAATTTTTATATAAGTTCAGTCACGCTTTTCTTATGTAATTCTGTCATGCAATGTTTTGTTATTCAAATTATTTTGCAAATTGTCTTTTACTGCAATATTGTCAAATTGATATATTGTCGATTTTAGATAACTTGTAATAATAATATTTTCGGAGTCAACATAGAGATTTAATTTATTCGATTATTTAATATTGTGAATTAAAACATGGATTGGTGAACGAAACATTAGGGATTCTCGACACCCTACCATTTTATTATTGAATTTTCTTCATACAAATTCCCTCCCTTCTATTTTATTTGTAACAAAATCTCAAAAACTATTCTTTTTCTTTAATTCACTTTTCTCTAACGCTCTTATTTTGTTAGTCTTTCTTGTTATTTTATTATCTCTCTGTGGATACGACCGCCCTTCTGTGCTACAACTGACCGCTTGTGAACATCACTTTTGGGCGTTAATCAAATTTTGGCGCCGTTACTAGTGCTGGAACTTTGGACGGGCCGCCCGCGACCGCCTGAAAAGCCCGAGGATTTGCCCGAGCCCGAACCCGACCCGCCCGAGATTTTGGGGCCGCTCGCCCGAGCCTGAATTTCACCTTGAACGGGCCGCGGGCTTGTATTCGGCGGCCCGAGCCCACCCGAATTGCCTGAATTTTTTAAACTTTTTTTTTAATATTAAGTTATTTATATATATATTAGTATTACAATTTATATATATATATATTATATTTATATATATATTAAATTTGAAATGAACACACGAACTATATAAAAAAATTATTTCTTTATTAATTTTTAAATTTGTAATTCATGATTGCCTCATTAAAAACCTTACCAAGAAAAACCCAATTGGGATAAAAACTTGGCAAGGAAAAAAGAGTGCAATCATTTTGTGACGAATTACAAATTGTACAAACTTACATTGTTTATTAAATTACAAATACAATGTAAAAAGTAAATA